GGGCGTGGGGAGGGGCTCCTTATTTTCATCTAAAGTAATAGACAGAGAATCAGCACTTTTGAAACGGGGCTGAAACAGAGGGGATTATGGGATGCTGCAATGATCTGTTTGGTGTTTGGAGCCAAACACTGCAGAGACATGTTCTGTATATATCTGAGACCTATAATATATTGATGAAAAACAGTATAATAGGGGACCTTTAAGGCCCGGACACACCAAGCCGATTTCGGCCGTCGATAGATGTCTGGCCGTCAATGAGCGCCCTGTCGCCCTACTCAGATTGGTGTGTCCCGCACCGTCGTGTCTTTTCGGCCGTGCCGACACCTTCCGCCCCCAATTCAACATGTTGAATCGGGAGACTATCGGCAAAAGAAATCGTACATAGCAGTTCGTACGTGCTACTTGGCCGTCGGCTGAAGTCTTTGCGGTGTGCTCCAGTGCGACTGTTGGCCAAGACGCAGGAGACGTGAGGCGACACAACGGTTGTGTTCCGTCGGGACGTGTTCTTTGGTGTCAGCTTGGTGTGTCTGGGCCTTTAAACAAATCATCCTAATGCAAAGTGTTGGGGACAAATTCAGACAGGTCCCCAGTATAAATGGAAGGCACTCTATTGTTTTTAAACTCTCCTCTCTCTGTGTCTCACCCTTTTTTTTTCCCCTCTCAGGCATCAACAAGCGCGATGCGAAGGACTGCCACCACATCCGTCACTTCGAGAACACATTCGTGGTGGAGACTGTTATCTGCGATGAGGCGTAAACACGATTAACCCCCCCGCCCCCCCCCACTCTCCATCCAAAGGCACGTCTCCAGCCAATGTAGCACCAACTGTGGATCTAAACACGTCTCAGTCGCACTTTACTTGTGATTTCAGTTTGATTATTGCACATTTTTCCCTAGTAACAATTATCTTTATTTCAATTATTTCACTTCCTATCTTTTTTTTATGGTGTGATGCAAGCTGTTGTTTCCATCACAGGATTTTCCTTGTAGCAAAGTCCTAAAGCCAGTAATGAATTGTAATTTCCTCTGGGGGTTTTATGATGGTTATGGTCGTCGGGGGAGATGACTGTTGCCATGTGTTGTCAGGGCGACTGTACTTTTTAGTTTTTTCTTCTCCCCTGGAGGGTACTTAGTGTTTCTCAGTACCACTCACACACTCATTACTGCAGAACATGACGCCATTGCTTCTCTGAGCAAACATAACGCATTGATTTCTTATGTTCGCTGTAATGTAAACGGGTCATTTCACAATCAGAGGACGTTTTAAACATCCAAACTTTGAATAATGAAACCTTTATTCTCACATTTTCTGTTGTGTATTTGAGAAAAACAGGTCGTAAATCATCAAAACAATGTATTTGTCAAGCTCAGGCATCAATGGTACATTTTATCAGATGCTTTATTTGTGGCTTTTCAGCAGTGCTTAATGGTTTTAAATGTAGAAATCCACTTAAAAAAGGTTTATTAACCTCTTGATGTGTAATTTTAAATCAATTCATTTTGAGGTAATTGTTAAGAAACATTGTTAGCAGCCTTAACATGCTTAGGCTACCTATTCATATACTGTGAAACTAAAGTAATATCAACAATCAACCAAATAATAGCCTGTTTTAATGTTATATTCAACATGCAAAGGAAAAGAGAAAAATGCCATTTTAGGGGGTGCTCGAGGCTATTTCAAATAATACTTTGAAACCCCTACAACTTTGTTTACATTCAGTCAAAGGACAAGTTTGTTTAACACAACAAGTGCGTGTTTTAGCATTTTTTTTGGCATGGATTATTAGAAATGTCAGTGAACGTCCTCCATTTCTGGAATGACCCAAACGTGTAACTGCTGACCGGCCGCTTGCATCTTCATGCTTTTGCAAAGTCTGCATTATGTCTTCGTAACCTAATCCAAAATTGAAACTTGTAAAGACCAATGTTTTTCTCATTTGTCATCAGCTTTGCTTTTATATTAATTTCTTTTTCATTAATGCTTTTGTGAATGATTTCAAAATATACGTTGTTCCTTGCATGTGTTTATCTATAATTAAATAAAAAACAGCACTGTTAGAATGTTTTGTAAAACCACGTTTAACGCCTTAGTCCAGAGTCAGAGACTGGACTAAAGTCAGTACTAAAGGGAGCATATTATATTATGGTATGTTAGTCAAATGAAAACAACTCTGTATTTTATGTCTGCTGATTAAATCATGAAATATGTGTGTGAATAAAGTAGTGAAAATAAATGGTTATCTGTTGATGCTTTGTTCATTTCTTTGACCCCCAAAATGACCCAGCAACATTATTATCCTGCAGCTAGAATGTTTTAAATTCAACAAATGTTAATATTGTTAGAGTTTTCTCACAAAACACATGCTGATTAGTTAATAATCCGACAGCAGACGGTGAGGATCAGCATTACGTCATGAACACATTTTAAATCATCCACGAGTAATCGTTGCAAATGTAATTAGCCTGTGATGATGCAGATTAGCCTGAAGTGGATATCTTCTCTGACTCATTTCATATTAACACGCCACTGGTGGAACATTATGTATGTCTGTTTTCTCTTTAAAGGTCACCTATTATGCAAAATCCACTCTTCTTCATGTCTCTTCTACATCAACATGTGTCCCCTCTTCTTCATGTCTCTTCTACATCAACATGTGTCCCCTCTGTGTAAAGAGACTCTGAAAGTTTCAGGAACAAAGATTCTCTCTCTTTTTGTCCTGATCCATTTCTATAAAAACCTGTCTGAAAATGAGCTGATCAGATTTTGGCCACTTTATGATGTCATAACGATTTTTTAGCTTGAGTAACCATTAGCCAATCACCAACCAAGGTAACCCCCCCCCCCCACCTTATCACCTGAATCTCCTCCTAGAGCACCATTGTGTTCTTTTTAACCAAATATCTCTCAGAGGGGCGTGGGGAGGGGCTCCTTATTTTCATCTAATGGCGCGTTTCCACTACACGGCCTCGCTCGGCCTCGCTCGGTATGGCTGGGCCTCGTTAGGACTGGCTCACTTTATGGCGCATTTCCATTACAGTTTAGGAACTGGGGTAGTATCTATAGTAACGCAGTGTAGGCGGAGCCGTGACGTCATCTTCAATGAGAACCCCAGAAAAACAACACAGCCGTTAGCTGTTAGCACTCAGAGCTCACAACTCCTCATATATGTTCAGAAACTAGACAAAAGTTAAACAAGTACAAACCACAGACTGCCTGTGTCATGGCGAATACAGTCGCTGCTTTATTTATGTCTGTATAGGCCGTTGTTGTGAGTGTGGACGGTCGGAGCATATACTGCGTTAGCTTAGCCAATCTCCATTTAGAAAACACGCATTTTAAAAGGTTTTTCGCCTGCCGTCTGTCTGCAGACTTGTCAAAGCATTAATTCATGGTTTTTACTAACCGGTATCAGTATGTTGTTACTTCGGCATCATTTTGAAACGTGTATTACAATTAAATCACGGTCAAATATGTCCATCTTGTTGTAGTTGTAGCCCCCTTGCCAGCGATCCTCTCTCTAGTTTAGCATACTCAGCCCGACTCAGCCTCGTTGTCTCTGGCCCTAGACCCGCGATTTTATGAGGCCAGAAAAACTGTGAATTAGGACCCGCCGGCCGGTACTAGGCCAAGTGGAAACGCAACCAAAGACGGGCCGCTGACGTCACAGCCCTCTTAAACCGTGCTCCGCGCTGTAGTGGAAACGCGCCATAAAGTAACAGACAGAGAATCAGCACTTTTGAAACAGGGCTGAAACAGAGGGGATTATGGGTAATGCTGCAATGATCTGTTTGGTGTTTCAGCCAATCAGAGACATGTTTTGTATATATCTGAGACCTATAATATATTGATGAACAACAGTATAATAGGGGACCTTTAACATGCAACAACAACATACATATGAAGAGTGGAAAGATGGTGTGATGCAAGAGCTAAAAGAACCATGATGATACAAAACCAATGAGCTACTTGATGCAATACTGTATGGAGGAGAAAACCCTCTCACAGTACAAGTGCAGCATGAATACATAATCAACATCAGAACAAGCAGATAAATGAACGAGGAATCAGAGGATGTGCCGGTGCATGCTCTGAATTAAAGCAAGGTGGTGTGAACATGCAGTTTAATGTTTCAAACATACTATGAATATTTTCAACGCATTAGAGTTGGATGTGTGTCTGATTTTTGGGACATACTATATTGTGGGTTTTCTTTTGCATAGGATTTTGTTTTCTTACTATACTATGATGTTTTCTTTCGACATACCATACTATAGATTTCATATATATATATATACAATAGCTTTTTAATGTATTTGTTGATGACAAATTATGACATTTTGTCTAATTTGTTTTACATTCTATACTATGAAGTTTTTAGGACTTTTTCCAGTGAAACCTTTGAATATTTTATGACCATTTTAATACCATAAAATACTTTTTACATTTTTTACGTTTTGTATAATATACTTTTTTATCACTTTTTTTACATACCATGATACAAATCAGCCTAATGTGGGTTATGATGGTTCATGCAAACACAGGACTTTCACCCAGGAGACCTCCGTTTGTGTCCTGTTTAACCAAAAGTCATGAATAATTCACAACTTAACCTAGTTATACGTTTAAAGAGGGGGTGGTCTACATCCTCAGGAAGTATGTGGTTATTGTTTGGGCTTGTGTTAGTCTCCAGGAAATGAATGTGAGTCTATCAAATGAACCCAAAATGATATTGAAAGGAAAAATGCTCCTGTGACTGAACCACTCCAGAAAAAAAGCCATTACGAGGCAGAGAGATCTCATTACATCACCAAGCTCTGTTTCGCTGAGCAGACACACACACACACACACACACACACACACACACACACACACACACACACACACACACACACACACACACACACAGCCCTTCAGGGACTATATATTGAGCTGTCGAGAGGGGAAGATCCTCCTGACTCCTGAATTGTATTTTAGAACTTAAATTATCCTGATTTGGTGGTAAAGATGGTTTTCTCAAAGGCCCAATGTCTCGTCCTTCTTCTCCTCTGGAACTTCACTGATGCTGGTGAGTTGATGGTTATTTACTGACTTTCAAGGGTATTTGAAAGCTAAACTCGTACTCTTAGCACAATTGTGTCAAAGCTTGTCATTTCAGTTTATTTATGTTTGCAGCTGTCAAAAGACAAATCAAACTGGTGCAGTAAATCCCTCGGGAACTCATGTTAGATTTTGACTGTACCTGAAATACATCAGAGCACTAAAACTCAGTTTGCAGGTAGAGTTTGAAGTGTTTTTGCAAGCCTCCACATCAGTGACAAGAACATACAAGCTGTTTTCATCAATCAAATGGACAGCAGAGCCCCCAATAACAAGCATTTTTAGAGCAAGTAGACACAACTGTAATGACTACAATCTGAAATCCTGATAACTTACTCATCAGTTTAGCTCACATGTCACATCGAGGGCTGTATTTGTGTGACATGTGCACGATTATGAATCTCTGTTTTCCCTGCTGCTTGGTTTCTTTTGATGTCAGGACGGATTCTGATGAAGATGAAGCAGCGTGTGCGGGATGTTCAGCTGCAGAGAGCGAAGCAGCATCTGCTGACGGTCGCTCTCCAACACGTGAAGGAGGGCCGGATCCACCAGCAGCTCGACCACTTCAACCGGCAGGACGCTAAAACCTTCCCTCAGGTAGAGAAACATCAACTATCAATGATATCCAGGTAACAGAGGATGGAGATTCAAAGGATGTATTGTCAAAGGTTCAACAGCTACAGCGAAAACAAGTCCCAGGCTTCTCCAACAATGCAACATACAGTATATTTAAAACATAAAAACAAAGGAAATGCAAAATAATGCAGGTGATATAATGGAGGAATATATACATTCTGTAAAATAGAGTGAGATCAAACTGAATTGAACATAAAATACTGTACAGTAGAATCAAGTACTGCATGTTGTTATAGTGTATGATTGTGTGGATATGTAGATTATAAGCAGATATGCGTGCTGTAACAAGATAACATGACAAAGGCCAGACAGTTCAGACACACATCTGTAAAGCATACTGTGATCATAGAAGAACACTTTCATAACCTGCACAAAGGAAATATTTTATTGAATGGATCGAATATGACGCCTTCATGTTATTTCTGAGGTTGGTCTAGTGTTTGTTTTTCTCCCAATGCAGCAAAGCTATTGAAACAGATGTATTGTTAACTTAAACCATTGAGATGTGCTGGTTCAATGTTCATTGCAAAACTTATTGAAATGAACTTATTGCACATATTAAACCTGGAACTAACAAAGCTTAAATTATTGCCTATAAAAACAACATTAAACATTAAATAATCAGTTGCATTCATTTCTTATGGCTCTATCTGCAGCTTCTCCAGAGTCATTTCTTATGATTACATTTCTCCACAGGCCAACAACAGCTTCAAAAAAACTATTTCCCTCAAAGAACAAACCAAACATGCCCTGTTGTCGTGAGAGAAAAAGTGCAGAAGGAAACATCCATTAAACTCAGTGTGCTGCTCTGTGATGCTAGTTCAAGCCAGATACTTGGCATCTCATCTTGGGTGCAAGGTCATCAATGTTTGGGCTCAGGCTCTGAGCTGAGGAAACCCTCAGGATTGAGTGAAGGTATGCGTGCAATATACCGGCAGGCCAGATCTAATAGTAATTAGAAATTATCCTGCGGGCCAAAATTAAATCCACCACGGGCCTGATTTGGCCCCCGGGCCTTGAGTTTGACACATGTGACTTACACCAAGGCTAGGAATGTACGTCTGGTTTGGATCAACCTCAATAACACATTCCTTTACTTTCTTGTGTTATTTTCTGCGTCTTTCTGCCTGTGTTTCCCTGCAGAGGTTCTTTGTGAACGAGGCGTTCTGGCAGCGCCCCGATGGTCCCGTGTTCCTCTTCATCGGAGGAGAAGGACCCGTCTATGAGTTTGATGTTCTGGCAGGTATGCGTACTCACCTGTCTGTCAGAAAAACAGCAGATTGGTTGAACGGAGTATTTGCAAGAAAGTCAAATCATATGTCAATTAAGCTGTTTTTGAAAAGGGACAATACTAAACAATGAAACACTTGTAGATGTTACTCAAGAAAATCTCGTTTCCCCATGCAGCCTGATGTTGTTAGGCTTCCTTCAGAATAATACAAATAATACAATATAATAGTTAAAATATGCTACAGTGGGGTAAAGAGCAAATGCAAAACACTAGAAATAGAACATAAATAGAGTTTGCTGACATTATCCATACAGAAAAATGATATGATATATTCTCAAACTGAGCAATAAGACATACAAATAATAATATATGTATTTTGTAAGCGCTTTTACAGGTGCTCAAAGTCGCTTTACAGAGATAGTGAAAAGAAAAGAACAACTAATACATATAGTTAAAGTCAAATTAAAATCAAGCAATACAACAACAATCACACATTAAAAGCCAGATTGAAGAGGTGAGTTTTTTGAAGGTGGTG